TAATAAATTATTGTTTATTTTTTATGTTTAACTTTTATGAGTTATTGCTTGTTTTATGTTTAATATTTTATAAGTTATTGCTTTCGATTATTTTGAATTCTATTTAATTATTAATAATAGATAAATTATGACAAAATCTTTATTGTAACTTTAGTGTGTTGTGCAACTGAGATTTATGCATCAAAGGAATCAAAGAAGCCATGCAACTCCTTTTAGCCCGTATAATACCGAATGGATAAATAAAACCATTTAAAAAATGTCATTAAAAGTTTTAGTTGGAATCATTACTGAAATTCTCTTTCTAAGAGTATCCTTAGTACAGTATTATGTAAATGGATGAAAAAGAACAAATAAAAATTAAAGTACTGTATATACTAAAATTATCATATCAAAGAATGAGATCCAGCGTCAATTTATTTGAAACATTCATTTATTGTAACGTTTGTAATTGATATAAGTTTTGAATAAAACGTCAGTTGTTACAAAAGTTTTGTCGATTTTTGAACTGCCACTCTGAGACCCCATATCATTGCTAAAAATAAGATTATTTAATCGAAATAACCTCCATTACAGGTAATATATTTTTGCCAGAGCCATAAGGTATAAGTGTACTTATACCATGTTGAAAAAAATTTGGAGTTCTGACTCAATGAAGATGGTTGAGCTGCTTGAGGACGGTTCCTGCTTCTACTCGGTTGCAAAATGTTTTCACTTGTAGGAAACTGTTGAGGTTCTTGAATAGATGGTGATCTGTGAGGGAAAGGTGTGGTGAATAGGGTGAACTTCATATTCTGGTGAGGGCAGTGGCGTAGCGTGGGTGTCAGCCGCCCGGGGCGGAGGAAAATTTCGCCGTCCCCTTATTTAGATATCTCAATTTAAAAGACTAAAATTCAGTTTCGTCACAGAATAAGTAATGAAAAATTCCGTGCTAGTGTTGCCACCTTTTTAAAATCACTGACCCGGACGGCAGGTGAGGTTTGTTCCAACAGAAGTTCCTGACGCATGCGTATGTCATTTCATTTTGCAGTGCGAAGAATAATGTGCAGAGTGCGAAGAATAATGTGCAGTGCATGTCGGTTCTAAATCAGTTACAGTTAGCGACTAGGAAGACTTGGGTAGGATTAACGTATGACATAGGTATATTGGATATTGGAGATGTATGTGAATACGGTTGAATCGCACAAGCAAAATAAAAAAAAAAAGAAAGGTCGACAGGTGCGCACGGTCGCCGGGTAAAATTATTAGTTCATCCGGACGGTGAGTCGATTCCCGGACTGTCCGGATGGTGACACTATTCCCCGTGCTTATTTCAATCGGTCCGAATCGTAGGTGCGACGGTAATATGAAATAATCTGATTCAAATTTTTACAAGATATTATTATTATTTATTGTGAAATTTTGCCGCCCGGGGGCGGGCCGCCCCTGCCGCCCCACTACACTACGCTACTGGGTGAGGGAGACCATCATACTCTAATTGGTTCAATTTTTGGAGGATGACTTGTGACACACGAGGAAGAGCATTATCTTCTTGAGACCTTTTCGATTCACTAATGCCTACTGTATTTAGGATAACTTCTGGTGAACAACGTCTAATTCACGATAGTACTTTTCTGCTGTAATGGTTTTGCCAGTTTTAAAGAAATTATAGTAAATAACACCAGCTGCAGACCACCAGACAGTCACTATGATCTTCTTTGGGTGGACACTGGGCTTTCGCATGTTTTAGTGCTTCTTCTCTGTCACACCACTGTGCTGATCGCTTGCGGTTGTCATATCGAATCATTTTTCGTTATGTTGTAATTCGGCTGAGAAATGTATCGTTCTTGCTGCGTTTGATCAGAAATGGGGAGATCTCAGTTGAATACTTTGTTGATTTTCATTAAGTTCATGGAGTAACCACTTATTAAGCTTTTTCACCTTTCCCATTGCGACTAGATGTCGAGAAACAGTTGCAATGCTTATATTAAGCTCTTTCGCGATTTCTCGTGTTTTTCTTGGATTGACTACAACTGAAGCTTTCAGTCGGTCATCATCGCAATTGGGTGGACGTCCATTTCGGTCTTTATCATCAAGGTTCATATCACCAGATCGAAACTTTTCAAACTTAAGTTGTACTGTGCGTTCATTAACAGTTTTGTCACCCCATGCTTTATTAATGTAACAAGTTGCCTTACTTGCTTTATGGCTAAATTTGAACTCGAGGAGAAGGATTGCATGAAAAACTTTCTTATTCATGATTCACTCTAAACCTCGAAAAGAAAGATATGTTACATTTTTTAAAAGATAAATTTTGCGTAATACGTACAGAAGCTTACACTACAAAACAAGATATAAGTTGTCTACGTGCGCCACCACAGCCATGTTAAAAATTAACTTAAAAGCAACGCATATAAAATATTGGACAGACCTTTTGTAACAATCTGATATATGAACATTTCAATTAGATTTATTTATACTTTCGAAATATCAAATTAAATTTATAACGAGCAATTATTTATTGTGAAATCGTCACAATGCCAGGCTACAATTTTTAATCATATTTTTTAATTTCATCTAAAACATATGCTCTCCGCCTCAAATTAGTAGTGGCTTGCTCCTGTACATCATACTTTACCTTTAACAATAGAACCGTGCCTGTTATCTATCTAATACCTTTTAGGAAAAAATTTTTGAATTAAAATAATCTGATTTCCAGTTTGCATCGGAAGTTGCTATATAGTTAATCGGGATCTCCTGCCAACATGGTTTTCATATCTGGTCTTGTCTTTATCTAACTCTGTTCTCCAAATTAAGGAAAGACAGACAACCTGATGGATGACAGAGGAAATTTATAGGTCTACAATTTTTCAAATTGCATCACAACAACATTCTAATTCGAAAAACCTTTTTAACGCTAAAACTAATACTTTGTCAACTGCTTTTAGTTGTGAGAACTTTTTTCATTTTTAGTTTAGCAGAGATGACGAACATTTAGAAAATACTGTATGTTTATGTTGACTTGATAGTTCTGTCTTTTCTGACAGAAAAACTATTAAGTCAAAGTGAACATTTTATCAATGCTAATTTAATTTACATTTTTTAAGTTGTTTTACTCTTTTTTCTCTGTGAATATTATAAGGGGGTCTGTTTTAATCAAGCCTAACATGGGTTTTATTAAATTCACATAGTGTCGGCTGGGTCGGGTTAAGGGACGGTGATCGATGTATTTGGACAGACCACCCCGAAATCATCCTGGTGTTTTCAATCCCTCCAGATTTGGTCCCGGATCTCCAGAGCAGTAGGATGCCACCTTAATTGCTCGCCATCCTGGCTTTTTTTCCAAAATAGTTCCAAAAAACTGGCTAAGTTATGTCAGTTGCATTACTTCTATTTTTGCCTATTACTTAAACTTAATTCGCAATAGTCAATATGGGTAAATGATAGAGAATACTATTCAACTGGAATTATCTATCAACATTCAGGACGATCAATAACAGATTTGAACGCTAATCCTTTAGAGCAATAAATTATAAAATTCAAATCGGTCGAATACTGTATATGGAATAGCGACAATTCGGATGAAATCAAAATCACTTTTTCTCATTAGTATAATTCGAAACAGACTGTAACAAATTAAATATATATTTGATAGCCGGCTGGCCGAAGCAATTAAATCTATGGCTCTGGAGAATCAGAGATCGAATTCGGGAGAAATTTGAAGAGTTTTTCATGGTCAGTCTGTCCTGAACATGTTGAGTTCTTTCACGACCAAATTGTTTGGCAAGGACCACAATGGGAACCTGGTAGAATCAGCGGCGCCCGCAAACTATAAAAATAGGCACCATACATTATACAAGAAGATCCAAACTGTGATGTAACGATTACCCAGAAGGCGGCACTAGTTGCAATTAGCCAGTTTTGGTTAACATACAACGAAGTTTCATAGTACAATTGACAAATATCGTTGATTAGTTTCTTTTATATTTTCAGAATAGGCTAAAAGTCACAAATTTTTCGTTGCTTGTTAATAATGGAATTTGGGGCCACTTTGGGAATTAGGAAAAAGGCAACCCAGACAAAAAGAAGGCAGCTACTTCAAGTGTGCCAAGTACGGGTGCCATGGGCAGAACCCACAACGGATTTGAAAAGAGATCTTAGTTCTTGTAGGACTGGAAGACAAAAATAATAAAGAATTAAAATAAAATTTTTATTATGCAGTATTGTCAGTTTTTAATATGTTATATGATTAAATCAAGCATTTGTTTAAGCATCGAGTTATTCATTTTTGCTTTCTTAATATATAATCTTTTTATGTACGGTACCTATTAAAACTCTTTCCACAGTATCAACACTAATAAGATTTTTATTCCTGCTCATCACAAATTCTAGTATAGTGATTTGGCCAGATACATTGGACATAACTCTTCGCTACCTGGCTACACCACAATGGAGTAACCGAATAGCGATGAATTGTGTCGTTTATAGAGGCCATATAATTCACATGATCCGAATCGGATTAGAATGGGAATCTCTAACGGATGTATTCACCACCTTGTATTAAATCTAGAGCAAGATTTAAATCGTGGGTTTAGTTTAACTGAAAATCGGTATTCAACACGCATTAATTCTAGATTCAACTCTGAATTCTTCTACAGAGAATCTGAAACTTTAACTGTTGAAGAATAATTTTATGCAAGAAATATTCACAACTTAAAATATGTTGTAGTCATTTAGAATCAACACTGTAATAATAATAAATCTTTTTAAAACAAAATTATAATTATTTATCGTAATTTTGCCTTTATTCTTACAAAAAAGAATCCCCCGAAAAAAATTACGAAATTATTTATAAATTATTAAAAGCAAAGTTTTCTCAATTTAAAATAAATAATTATTTATATCTAAGTGTCAAATTAAAAAGTATATACTCAATGCAAGCATTTTCAATAAAAATTAATTTCAATAAAAAATTAATTATTATCGATATTCACTNTTATATACTAAATAACTAAAGTACTTACCTGATATATAACTGTCTAAGAGCCAAAGATGCATTTACACATCCTTTAGGTAGTTTGAGATTGTCAAAGATTACATCCCATTTTTGACTATCATTTACCTAAGGAAACACCAAGAATAATCAAACATATCATCTTGTAAGTAGACTGTAATGTATTTGATACTACCGAGTAAACTAATCAATAAAATTTAAAGGGAAAGAAAAATCCTCAATTATTTCATCCAAACAGAAAATGTAAAAAATTATTTATTTTCAATTATTCATTTATCCTCAATTTACTTTTCAAAACATTCCAAAACAGAACTTAAGAACTGATTTATTTTTAATGAGAATATAAATTATTGGAAAAAAGATCAAATTTTCAAAAATTTCAATTCTAAGAACTAATGGTTTATAACAATAAAAATAAGAAATACTTCATTTCAAATTATCTCTATCAGCACAAATCAGATAATAAAAAACAAAAATAATTTGATCAATAAAAATTAAAAGTAATATATGAATATACTGTGTAAATACAGTATAATTAAATCCTTATAAGAACGTCAAGAAAATCTTTATCCAATTTTTCAATTTATTTAAAAAAAAAAAAAAATACAAAGTAACATCAACTATTCATATAAAACTCATGTCATTTAAAATTTATAGATTTGAAATAACCAATAATAAAATTGCTAAATTGCACTAAAATATCCTAATTTGTAAGTAAGAAAGGTGAATAAAAAGTTTGAAATTTTTAATTAGAAAGAATAAAGTCAAAGACATGCAATAAAGCAATAGCAGATATGAGAGAGAGTAAAGTTGGGAAAAAAAGCTAAAGTTTACAAAGACTAAAGAATGCAGTATAAGTGAAAAATGTGAGGAAAAAATCTTACTAACAGATGTTAGAAATCAAATTGAAAACTGTTGAAGAAAGTTAAGAAATCAATCAGGAAGCTAAAACCAATAGAAGATAGTTACAACAAGTGTTTAATAACCAGTATATGAGTTTCTTAACCTTTCATCAGTCAAATGTATGAATACAGTAAGAGATGCAGATGAAAAGATAAAGGAGCAGATAATGTGAGTGTCACAGATTAAATAAAACATGATGATTTTGACAGCTAGGAATGAAATGAGGGTCCCGAAACGAGTTTATTATGGGGGTTTAAAAGTGAGAATGGCATGGATTTTTACCTTTTGCCACCCGCCTTGGGCGGTGACTTGGTTGTAGAGCGAAAACAAGTCGATCTCCCGACCATTTATACGTGGAACGTGTCGAAATTGCGTCCTAGGAAGATATTAAGAAGCAATGAGTTTGTGAATGAGTAGAAAACGACAACAAAAGCGAGCCAAAAGAGATTGAGGCAAAGCATATATTACCCCCTATTGTGATGAAACTGTTTCAGTTCGTTGACGAATGCGTTGTAGTCCCGCCTGTAGGTGTCCGGTTCCTTATGGAGCCTCTCCATTCTCACTCAGATGATCAAAGTCGGGCCAACACTTCGCTTAATCCACACATCGATAGGAAGGATTCGGATGAGATCGGCTAAGCCTCGTCCAAACACCACTTAGCAACGACAGCGCGCGCTCCGTTGCCAACAGGACTGCACTCCGAAAAAAAAGCGGAAAACCTAAACGGACTTATCAAACTGAACGTGCATCGCTTTCGCGCACCATAAATAGATTCCTTAAATATCGATGCAGTTTAGACATACGACTTCATCGTCCGTTGATAAAAAAACTCAGCAATTGTCCCTCAGAGGGATCCATCAATTGCTCCATTGTCTTAGCTACCGACTCGGTTCAAGATGGCGGTTTCGAGAGTTGGCTGTAGTTCGGCTAAACGCTTTCCGTCGTCTCATACACGCTTATTTTTCGAATTCGAATATTTAAAAATACTTTACACTTAATGTTTGTTTGAGAAACTATCCGGAGATCGAGCTTTGTTATAATTACGTCATAACGAGTGCGAGACCTATTTCGTCTTAACTTGTTTACGCCGACGGAAGTGTCGGGACTTTTTTCGCTGGTTTTGGTCGATTCGTTGGGTTTCGATGACGAACTAATGCTCGTGGACGCGAGACAACGTGTTCCGCGTGCAAGGACTTAAGTTTCGCGGGGGATTTTTAATTCGGGTGCGACGTGACGTCATCGGTCATTCTGAACTTCGCCGCCGGTGCAGCTGAGTCTCGCTCTTTACATCATCATCTAAAATGCCATTTTTATAATTTTTTCATTTTTATCATAAATTCTTCTGCTATAACTACTCTATCAAAGGATGCACGTAGCCCCTCATCTTATTGGCAATGTATTAGATTTCTACTCCACCACATCAACAGTTATCTCCTATCATCCAACTGCTTAACAATAAATTTTTATAATAAATATTCTTTCTATTTTATTTACTTGTTCTTTTCTGAGAAATCCCAAGAACTGCTAAAACCCTGACAAATATAATATTTCTGCAAATTTTATTCTTACATGTTAATAGAATTCAATAAATAAATAAATAGCCGACATTGTTGTCAATTTTAATTAACTTGTAATGTCATTAATCGCCATTTTGATGAAGTAAATAGGTAACATTTTCTGAGGGGAATTAATCTACAAACATAAAAAAAAATTGTTGTAAAAACGTTTATTTGATTATACTCGTATTAAATTGCAGACTTACAACTTCTTTGTAAAATATTTTAAATTTTGATGAGTCAGCCGGTGAATCAGTACCTGGTTCGCAATAATATAGAATATTTTCTTATGTTAACATTAATTAAGAAAACCAAATCTTCAAAATCTCTTTGAAAATTACTACAAATGAAATTGCATTTAATTTTTAAATCTATTCTTTAAAAAAATATTTTAAAATGAACTCTAATATTTTAATTTATTTTTAAAGCTTTATTTATGTAGTCAAAATANTGCCGACTGGAATTCTTTCGGATGATTGACTTTTGGAAAATCGACGCTCTACTGTAATCAAAATAACTCCAAATTCATTTCTCATTAGATTTGCTCCTGATTATAACATGGTTCTACAAATGTAAGTAAGTTTTGTAAAAAAGTTTTGCAAAACTGTATAATAAATCAAATTCCATAATTTTAATTTGTTGTATTATGCAAATATTTTCATGAAACCTATTAGATAATATAGTCAAGTCCAATAAGCCAGTTGCACAAATTTAATCTCAAGGTTAAACACACTTTATTCTACAGAATTATCTTTGACATATTGCACAAATATAAAACTTTGAGATAAACTGTGAAGTAAGTTAACTGGCTAATTTCACATGGTTAAAAATTTATCCTCTAGATTAGCAAAGAAAAAAGATGGATGACCAATGCGGATAACCTTAAATTTAGAATATTTAAAAGAAGTTCATCCTAACATTGGCAGAATATTTTCAAGAAAGATCAGATTTTATAATATTGTGCAGCAATCGTAAGTTTTGAGAATTGATTTTGATTTAAAAGCTACTGTACAGTACATAAATAGGCAGAGTTAAATTAATCTTATTTAATAATGAGAAATAATTAATAATCATGTTATATAAAGTATATGTATTCAAAAAATTGTAGATAGTATCCACCAAATCTCCCAATATTTTTATATACACTCAAATCTATCCCACACTTTCACTTAGGCCTATTCATTTTTGCTCTATTTTGTTTTCCATTGTTCTTGGTAACATGACTGTGCAGTAAGAATTTTTTTTTTTGACTAACTGGCCAATAACTATCTGACAAGTCAAAGAAACTTATACAACAAGCATAGCTTATTCTTTAATATAGTGACAAGCTCAAATTTATTCTAATTTATACATAACTTGCACAGCAAGCCCTTAACAGAACATAAGATAAAGGAACAGTTTACTTAAATGAAAACTTTTCCATTTTTTAAATTTCTCTGTGATGTTTTGTTAACAGCAGTCCATTTAAATGAGTGCCTTGTAAGCAGTTTTTTTGCACAGCAATCTGCATAAGGGGACTATTCTAAGGAAAAGTTATAAGGTCTATCTTTAATCTTACAATGTAACACCACCCAGGGTACAGGTCTTTCTATACTATGGTATTTGTTAACATGAGGGGAGAAAGATGAATACAATGAACAGGACAGGTTGAACAAGACAATGACAAAACAAACTGTTCACAAATCAACAAAATCTGTTTCTCAAAGACGCATTGTTTCATTTAAGTATAGTGAGAAAACATTTAGAAGAAAATTTTACTGATTACAATGCATTTTACAAGATTAAAATGAATGAAAATTTTTTATTGTTTATTGCATGAATAGTTACAAAAGTATATGTAGTTCAGTTCATCTTTGTAAATTATCATAATAAAATTTGATAGAAAATAAGTACAGTACTGCAAGAATAAAGTTGTTTTTATACTGTATGTCCCATTAGAGAATATTCAGAAATTTTAAAGCAAGGGTATATTCAAATCTTTTCAGCTAGGCTTCCAACTATATTCTGGGAAAAAATATTGGTAAAAGTAATGTACAGTAAAGTTTCAATAGTTTGAGTTAATTGGAAATGAGATAACCTCAAACTATCAAAAACTCAAAGTATACAGAAAATACATACAATGGAAAACAGTAATAAATAAAGGCATTATATAATGTTTATCATTATAAAATGAATACAACATTAATCATTTCACAATGCATTAATGAAAGCCAATATTAGACCTTTCAATATGTTTACAATTCCTGTGTATTGTATCTCATCACAAACTTGATCTGAATTATCAAACATGTAATTTTAATGCATTTTAGTTGAATATGTATACTTTGACTATATGGAACCACCAACTATCAAAGTTCTACAGTAACTAGTAAAAATACAGTATTTACTGATAATTCAATAAAACAATAGAATTGATGATATAAGAATGGAAATCAAAATGAAAGTTATACTAAACTCATGTAATAATGAATTTTAAATATAATATAATAAATATAATCATAATCCAATGAATGCATACTGCTGTTCATTTGATATTTGATAAAGCATGTTTGAAAATGTTAAATTTTAAGTTATATATATGTGAATCCCTCCTTCCAAGATTAAAAGTATTATGCCTAAGGAAAGCCATTAGAACAACTAGACAAGAGATGTACTCCAAGCTCAATAATTTGATTAAATTTGAAAACCAGCTATTTGAACAAGACCCAAACATACTGTATGAAGTCAACAGGCAGGTTATCAGCATACAAGACAAAATATCAAACACCCTATGAAATAGGTACGACAAAAAGCTCAGATGGATCTACACCAAGCAGAAAAGGGTCAAGGAAGCAATCACGGATATGCCATTAATATGTTGGGATGATATCTCTCCTCCATATTTTCTCATCAATACCATAAAAACTAAGTCCCATGTATGCTCTGGGATATGCAGCACTCAAATCCAAACATATAATACCTAATATAGAAAGGCTTATTTCTGTTATGAAAAAAAGTTACAAAGAATTCTACAGATGGAAAGCAGTGTTTAAAAGCAGAAACTTGAGACGTGATCAACAAGATGCAGTTTTCTGGAAAGATCTCTACAGAAGCAAGAGATGACTGGATGACAACGACATCACAGTTTTAAAGACCAATAAGAATAGAACTTTAGTATTATTGAAGATGACTACAGGACTGCTGTACAGGAGGCTGTTGAACCAGTACATTATCGACATGGAATGTGAACTAATCAATGATGGATATATAGATAGCTTACAAGCATGGGTCATCAAATTCACACATTCCCCCCTTGCCAGAAAATTAAATTTAAATAAGATGGTGGTATGCTCTCCTGATACCTGTATGTAGATTGCTTTGCCAAAATACATAAACTAGGTAACTCATTAAGACCAAAGTCGATAAAGTCAGATCACCCACCAGGCATTTAGAAAACAAGGTACACCATCTACTAGCATCGCATTTAAAAAATTATAAATTTACAATACCAAACACGCAAGAGCTTCTAGTAGAATTACACAACATTGAATTGACCAATAATGAACACATCACTGTTTTAGATTTTGTATCATTAAATCCATGTATTAAATTAGAGCCTTGCTTCTGTGCCTTATAGGATTGATTATTCCAGGTAGTTAAAAACCATGTACACCACCAACAGATTTTAGAATTAGCACACATGCTATGCTACACTTCATGTTTTCAGTATGATAACAAAATTTACTTACAGAAATGGGGAGTGTCTATGGGCAGCCTCCTATCGGGACCCACACGAATTGGTGATATGCAACTTAGAACAGAATATACTACCATCATTCCTCCCAGAGATAATCACATATAAGATATATATAGATGATATCTTGATCATTTGGAGAGCTGAACCCAATATCAACAACTTTATACAATGCATGAATAATAACCCATACAGTCTTACACTTTAACATAAAACAATGCAGCGACAATCAGGCCCACTTCCTAGACTGAATATCTACCTTATACTACATTCGCACACAATCCACAACTCACTTCAATCTCGATTTACCTACAATCTGGATTGTGAATGTCACCAGTCGAACATTGTACTGTTCACACAGGCAGTCTGCTTGAGAAGAACCTGGCTATTACACGCAATGATAAAACTGACATAACTACGTAGTAAGTCATGAACACCAACAAACAAAATGGAAGTTTTGGTTAGAAATAAATACAGTACTTTTTCTTGCCATATAATAAACAGATATCATCGTCTCTCCAAATACAGTATCTTTTTTATTTCTCTGTCGATAGTCCAACACGTGTTCCGCAGCCATCTTATATTTTCTCATGCATATGGGATTGTGGGATCTCTCTTATGACTGGATCTAGTTTCAAGAACTCTCAAGTCGATCACAATTGAACCTCGTTTCAGTCGAGATTGAAATGGTCAAAAGAGACCACACCAAGGCATAGTTGCCAACCTTGGTCACAATCTAGATTGAAATGCTTGGGGCGAATGGGGTATTAGAAATGGCCAGATCGAAACAGACATTTACTATAAACCAGGGTACCAGCCATTATTCATACCAGCCACTTTGAATGATCCTTATAGTTACAAAATAGCAACATTCAGAACCCTTACAAAAAGAGCCTTCACACACTGCACAAGCATTAGTACAAGGCAAGAATTAAAACATACAGAGGAAATAGGAAAATGCATGGTTACCCTAGTATAGTAGTACAAGGTCTAGCAAAGAATTATATTAAAAGAATGAATGAACACACCACTTCCAATCTTAACAAGAGCGATAATAAATGCTTGCCTGTATGGTCAAAACCTTTACTAATTGATTATGACTGGGGATTAAAAGCTTTATACTAAGATATTGCTACTTGTAGAGATTGTTCAATAACATACATAATAACTTATATACTGATGGATTACACAAGAAATGGCAAAGATGTCATTAACACCTACAATGCACTAGGGGTGTATAGTATACTTGTCAGAAATGACAGGTTTCATACGGATCTTGTGTACATCGGTTCAACAAAGAGATTCCTTAAAAAATGGCTGGCAGAACATAGATATGATATACAACACCATAAAAAAAAGACCACTGCCCTAGCAAAATATGCTTCTGAAACAGACCAAGTCAGTAAAGTCAGATCACCCACCAGGCGATGGAATACATCTCTTCACACTTTAGAGGCTCTGGAAATTTTTAAAGCCGAACTAAAGGGGAATGCATCAATTTTGAAGAGGAGGCGAATATCTCGCATGCCTGGCAATCCTTTTTCAATGATCCTAGCAACATTAAATAATAGGAAATCAATTAATTCACATATGATTTAAAAATGTATTCCTTAATTTTTGTGTTAATTTTTATTTTAGTTTTAATGTTAATATTAACACCTAGATGTGATTTTTGCTGTATTGTGTTATAAGACTTTCTTTACCATTCTGACAAATTTAAAGTATTTAAATTCGAACATCCTGCATTCTAATTCTTTTGAAAATTAATGACCTGAAGCAGATCCGAATTGAATCAAAAACATTTGTCTCAACATATTTTGTTTTAAATATACTATTGTGCTGATGCTTTTGAAGGTTTTGTGGAATTATTTAATAGTTATATAAAGCATAGAACATAAAAGGGTAGATATACCAAGTGATCTTTTTACTTCAGATTAGGGAGCATGATGCAGCAATCCCAAGGGTGCTCTCAAGTGGATTCAATTAATATTAATATATAATTAATAAATAATATATAAATTCAACTTTCATTTATTTTAAACTCACAATGCATTGCATGAATAAATCTTTATATATATATAAAATTATATACAATTATATTATTGCTATTTCAGAACTGCAAACTAATATGTAAAGCAATATCTAAATCAACATATTTGTTATTACTGAGTCTTGACAATAAAATCCCAAATTGAAGAATATATTTTAAACAGAAATTTTCTTAAATATAAAATCTTAAATACAGATATCTCACAAAATATTTTAAGTTCTATTTGATATTAAAGATTAAAATTTATAAAATAGAAAACTTTTAGAAAAAATGTCCTAAAACAAAAAATTTATCAATAGAGGATGTCAATATATACTTTATTAATATTCTTAAATAAAAAACTTTAAAAAATAAAAGATTTTTCTTACAAAAATGAAAATAAATTACATAATCATAAATGATTCATTTATCATCATTTAACTAATTTTCCAATCAATAATCAATTTTTTCTTTCAAAAACTGATTTTAAAACATTCTTAGTTATTATTATTATTAGTAGTAGTAATTATACATTTCAATTATATTCAATAATAATATTAAAACAACTCATTTTACTATTTTTCATTTGCATTAATAATAGAAAATTATTTCAATGAATATCTATTTCATTACAAAAAATATATTTTATTTTACAGCTTTTAAACAAACAATAATAATAATGAATAATTACTTCAATATTTTTTCTAATTATCTTTGAATTTATTATAAAATATATTAAAAGTTCATCTTTTCATATTTTTTTCATACAAAAATGAAAGTTTATAAATTTTGAAATATTAATATGAAGTAATTGCTTGATTTCATTTTAAAACAAATCACATCAATTTATTAAATATAACTATTGTATAAGACTTTATCTTGCCTCTTCCTAATTATAAGAAATTTTGCTTCATTAACAGTTGGGTGATAAATATATTTTGAGAGATTTATAAATACTAATCAATAAAGTTGAGAAAATTCAAAGCATCAAAATTTAATATTTATAAAATGAAAAAAATTAAAAATAAATAAAAATTAGGCTTTAAATTTTATTTATGTGACTGGGTTAGTGGGTGGATAAAGAGATATGTAAATGTTTTCCAATCTATTTATCCAAAAAACAAAAAACCTGTATCTTTATCACAAGATAAATTCTCTGAGATGCTATAAAATTAAATGACTATATTTGTCAATATCATCACTTGATATTAATAAGAAAAGCTTAAAAGATGAGTTATTATTCTTAAGCAAAATACACTTATCAATATGAAAATAAAACCAAAAAATTTTTTAAATATTTATTAATATTAATTAAATCCAAATAATTCAATTATACAGAATATTTAAAAAAATTTAATTATTAACCTTAATATTTATTTTCATCCTAAATTATTAAAATCAATTTAATATAAATATACAGTAATTTCAATTTGATTTTCTGTATCTTACAATATAGTTTGAGATCTGTTAAGTAATATCATTTTTATATTAAAAAAAAAGAACTTATTTAGTTTAATATAAAATAATCAATAACTATTTCATTTTCTTTATGTAAGGAATAATAAATATCTATAATTATAACAGGAAATATAAAATTATCATATTTAACCATGCTATTCAAGTCTAAAATACAGGGATAAACAAATTTCAAGATGATGATAAAATGTAAAACAAACGGAATTAATATAATCTTTATTAATATTAATAAAGAAAATATATATAATCATTTAATTTCCTTAAAATCAATATTCTATATTTTTAAAAATTAAAACCATTTTTTGTTAATTCTGTTTAAAACTCTTTTGATATATATTTTTTAATCTTAACTTGCTAATATTACACTCAATATACTGAGTAACGAAACTTACACTTAACAAAATTCATTTAATTATACATTAATATATATCATTAGATTAAACATCTTAAACTTGTTGCCTTCTCCTAAACAAAAAATTTTAAAAATCTATCTAAAGTATTCCAACAAAAATCTTTCAATTCAAACATTTAAGTCATGCAAATTCTGTTAATTTAAAAATAATTATTATTATTATTTTTATTTTAATATTATAAAATATTTTAAAAAAAATCAATGAATGTAATGCCTAATTAACTTTTTTTATTTACAAAATACAATTTGTTGAGAGAAATATAATAAATTTTGATCTTTTCAATTTATAAACAAACAACAAACTGACATTTGACTTTTTAATCTATCACAATTCTAATTATTATATTATTAAGCTATGCAATATAATCCATTAACTGAAAATTTTAATTTCATATATTTATACAAAGAATTTTCAGCAACATTTAGATTACTTACAATTCTAATAAATAAAATTTATAATAACAAAAACTCAAGCAAAACTAAGTTATATACTAAATAACTAAAGTACTTACCTGATATATAACTGTCTAAGAGCCAAAGATGCATTTACACATCCTTTAGGTAGTTTGAGATTGTCAAAGATTACATCCCATTTTTGACTATCATTTACCTAAGGAAACACCAAGAATAATCAAACATATCATCTTGTAAGTAGACTGTAATGTATTTGATACTACCGAGTAAACTAATCAATAAAATTTAAAGGGAAAGAAAAATCCTCAATTATTTCATCCAAACAGAAAATGTAAAAAATTATTTATTTTCAATTATTCATTTATCCTCAATTTACTTTTCAAAACATTCCAAAACAGAACTTAAGAACTGATTTATTTTTAATGAGAATATAAATTATTGGAAAAAAGATCAAATTTTCAAAAATTTCAATTCTAAGAACTAATGGTTTATAACAATAAAAATAAGAAATACTTCATTTCAAATTATCTCTATCAGCACAAATCAGATAATAAAAAACAAAAATAATTTGATCAATAAAAATTAAAAGTAATATATGAATATACTGTGTAAATACAGTATAATTAAATCCTTATAAGAACGTCAAGAAAATCTTTATCCAATTTTTCAATTTATTTAAAAAAAAAAAAAAATACAAAGTAACATCAACTATTCATATAAAACTCATGTCATTTAAAATTTATAGATTTGAAATAACCAATAATAAAATTGCTAAATTGCACTAAAATATCCTAATTTGTAAGTAAGAAAGGTGAATAAAAAGTTTGAAATTTTTAATTAGAAAGAATAAAGTCAAAGACATGCAATAAAGCAATAGCAGATATGAGAGAGAGTAAAGTTGGGAAAAAAAGCTAAAGTTTACAAAGACTAAAGAATGCAGTATAAGTGAAAAATGTGAGGAAAAAATCTTACTAACAGATGTTAGAAATCAAATTGAAAACTGTTGAAGAAAGTTAAGAAATCAATCAGGAAGCTAAAACCAATAGAAGATAGTTACAACAAGTGTTTAATAACCAGTATATGAGTTTCTTAACCTTTCATCAGTCAAATGTATGAATACAGTAAGAGATGCAGATGAAAAGATAAAGGAGCAGATAATGTGAGTGTCACAGATTAAATAAAACATGATGATTTTGACAGCTAGGAATGAAATGAGGGTCCCGAAACGAGTTTATTATGGGGGTTTAAAAGTGAGAATGGCATGGATTTTTACCTTTTGCCACCCGCCTTGGGCGGTGACTTGGTTGTAGAGCGAAAACAAGTCGATCTCCCGACCATTTATACGTGGAACGTGTCGAAATTGCGTCCTAGGAAGATATTAAGAAGCAATGAGTTTGTGAATGAGTAGAAAACGACAACAAAAGCGAGCCAAAAGAGATTGAGGCAAAGCATATATTACCCCCTATTGTGATGAAACTGTTTCAGTTCGTTGACGAATGCGTTGTAGTCCCGCCTGTAGGTGTCCGGTTCCTTATGGAGCCTCTCCATTCTCACTCAGATGATCAAAGTCGGGCCAACACTTCGCTTAATCCACACATCGATAGGAAGGATTCGGATGAGATCGGCTAAGCCTCGTCCAAACACCACTTAGCAACGACAGCGCGCGCTCCGTTGCCAACAGGACTGCACTCCGAAAAAAAAGCGGAAAACCTAAACGGACTTATCAAACTGAACGTGCATCGCTTTCGCGCACCATAAATAGATTCCTTAAATATCGATGCAGTTTAGACATACGACTTCATCGTCCGTTGATAAAAAAACTCAGCAATTGTCCCTCAGAGGGATCCATCAATTGCTCCATTGTCTTAGCTACCGACTCGGTTCAAGATGGCGGTTTCGAGAGTTGGCTGTAGTTCGGCTAAACGCTTTCCGTCGTCTCATACACGCTTATTTTTCGAATTCGAATATTTAAAAATACTTTACACTTAATGTTTGTTTGAGAAACTATCCGGAGATCGAGCTTTGTTATAATTACGTCATAACGAGTGCGAGACCTATTTCGTCTTAACTTGTTTACGCCGACGGAAGTGTCGGGACTTTTTTCGCTGGTTTTGGTCGATTCGTTGGGTTTCGATGACGAACTAATGCTCGTGGACGCGAGACAACGTGTTCCGCGTGCAAGGACTTAAGTTTCGCGGGGGATTTTTAATTCGGGTGCGACGTGACGTCATCGGTCATTCTGAACTTCGCCGCCGGTGCAGCTGAGTCTCGCTCTTTACATCATCATCTAAAATGCCATTTTTATAATTTTTTCATTTTTATCATAAATTCTTCTGCTATAACTACTCTATCAAAGGATGCACGTAGCCCCTCATCTTATTGGCAATGTATTAGATTTCTACTCCACCACATCAACAGTTATCTCCTATCATCCAACTGCTTAACAATAAATTTTTATAATAAATATTCTTTCTATTTTATTTACTTGTTCTTTTCTGAGAAATCCCAAGAACTGCTAAAACCCTGACAAATATAATATTTCTGCAAATTTTATTCTTACATGTTAATAGAATTCAATAAATAAATAAATAGCCGACATTGTTGTCAATTTTAATTAACTTGTAATGTCATTAATCGCCATTTTGATGAAGTAAATAGGTAACATTTTCTGAGGGGAATTAATCTACAAACATAAAAAAAAATTGTTGTAAAAACGTTTATTTGATTATACTCGTATTAAATTGCAGACTTACAACTTCTTTGTAAAATATTTTAAATTTTGATGAGTCAGCCGGTGAATCAGTACCTGGTTCGCAATAATATAGAATATTTTCTTATGTTAACATTAATTAAGAAAACCAAATCTTCAAAATCTCTTTGAAAATTACTACAAATGAAATTGCATTTAATTTTTAAATCTATTCTTTAAAAAAATATTTTAAAATGAACTCTAATATTTTAATTTATTTTTAAAGCTTTATTTATGTAGTCAAAATAAAATAAATATATTAAAACACATCGTAAAATATGAGGGAAAAAACAAAAAGTTTTGATATTAAATGTATTTTCTACGTAATAAATGAATAAAATGTAATACTAATTAATATATTTTTAATGTTTCTAAAAGGTAATTTTCTGCAAAATAAACCAATTAAAATTTCAAAATAAAATAAAATTATTTGCTATACCAATGATTAAAATCATTTTAATCATTGCACATAATCCGTAAAACGCGCATTATTTCCATACAACATTATAAAAATATTAAACTTATTCTTTGAATGCAGTATTAAATAGAATAATATTCAATTTTATAATTTATTTAAAATATTTGTACATATAATAAATATATATTGATGAAAATATGATTGATTGTTGCAAAACTGCTGTAAAACGTTACATTCAGAACTTAAATAAGGCTATTTTATTTAAATATATATACAGTATATATATTTACAACATTTTTATGCGTTCAATTTTCTTTTTAATTAATTGTAAATAGAAAATTAAGATGAATATTAATTCAAAAATAGTCATAAAATAGAGTTTTATTATCTATTTATAAACTTGACTCGAATAGATAATATTTGACATTCATGAGCATATAAAAAGCCATAAACCAAGATTAATATAACGTTTTTGTACATAGATTTCTAATCTTCAAGACTCCCTGCAGGTTATGGAACTTATGGGCATGTTTGCTATTCATTAGATTAAGATCAATCCCAAGTTAAAGCGAACATTTTTTTAAATCGAAACTTATTAAAGGAACTTTAACCTTAGCGTAAAATTAACACTGAATTTCTAAAGATATTTTTAAAATTATCGCAAATCAGATTTATAAATCTGAAGTATTAAAAAAAATTTTTAATAATCCTTTTTATTATCGATTAATTTAAACGTCACGTGATCATCATTGTTAAACGTATTTCTAAAACGTAATAATTGGTTCGTTTCTAATGCCTTTTTTAAGTTTAAAACAACATTTATATATCCAAACAAACTAATATCGAATATTTTATTCGAATGATACAATTTATAAGCATTCTGCGAATGCCGTGTTTCCTATTAATCATCTCTGTATGTCATTACGTCATCGATGGTTAGTGACGTATTTTAATTATACGGAGCAAGCGCATATTACTACATTAATAAATATTTTCCTTCTTCCGTAATTTTATGACGAAATTTAAAATTTTTCAAAATTTATAAGTATTAAGCATCTTGGAGTGTTTTATCGTTAATCATTTTCAATAAAATAAAATTTTATTTTTATGTTTTTCTTTTTTAATTTTAATAAATCAATAAAATACAACAGAAAGAGAAAAATAAAATTGAATGTAGTGCCATCTGTTGAAGAAATTTTCACGAGCATTTAAAAATATCGATTTTACCTGATATCTTGTTTGTAATACGATCTTGTACAGATCTTACGTATAAGATTGCATTAATTTATAGTTTCATATTAATTTAATTTTATCTTA